CACTCACACACACACACACACACACACACACAGACCACCCTGTTCTCATCAGGACGTTATCTAATCATCTTATGAAGGAAACAAAATAAACACTTCTGAAGAATATGTGGTAGTCCATTTTTTTTGGACATGATGCATGGTGTTTACCATGGTAAGTTTTTTACCAGTCAAAAGTTTGGTATCAATTTAATATTTCTTCTGCTCACCGAGGCTGCATTTATTTGAACAAAATACTGTAAAAATTGTGAAATATTATTATGATGTAAAATAATGGTTTTCTATTTTAATGTATTTTAAACTGTAATTTATTTCTGTGATGCGCAGCTGTATTTTCAGCATCATTACTCCCGTCTTCAGTGTCACATGATCTTCAGAAATCATTCTAATATGCTGATTTGCTGCTCAACAAACATTTCTGATTATTATCAATGTTGAAAATAGTTGTGCTGCACAATATTTTTGTGGAAACAATTCGGGGTAAGTAAAATTAAAAATGAAATTAATACTTTTATTCAGCAAGGACACATTATATTGGTCCAAAGTAAAGACAGATGTTTTCTATTTCAAATAAATGCTGTTCTTTTGAACGTTCTATTCATCTGTGAATCCTGAAAAATAATATTTCACTGTTTTTACAGTATTTTTTTATCAAATAAATGCAGCCTTGCTGAGCAGAAGAGACTTATTTCAGAAACATTTAACAATGTTAATTAGACATGCACAATATAATATCATGGTATTATTTGAAAATAGGATATCTGACGTTATCCTGTCCATAATATGATGATAATTCAGTATCATCTCATACCATAAATTAACCGTGTTACTGCCACATTACTAGTGCTTGCTAAACACTGCTCCATTCACATCAGCCAGTGTAAAAGTTAAAGTCAGATTATTATTAACCCAGTTCTAAATCAAATGTCGATACTCGTGGTGATACTAGTGAATGGACTATAGAGACAGGTCAAAGGTCATTCAGTGCCCAGAGCCAAACCACTGAAAGCAATTACAGGCCTGACCTCATAAACTCTGACCTGCAGGGGGCATCAGCACACACACACACACACACACACACACACACACACAC